CTACCTGTTCCCGATTCGCAGCATGTACTTTGCCTCCACCATCCTTAAATTGTCATCCGTCGTTTCTATCGTATCCGAACGAAGATCCAATTAGCCATCAGAATGGCCAAATTGTTAAGTGTTACACATGAATAAAATGAAAGTAAGTAAGAAGTCTGGAACGCCAATTGCGTGCTTATCTGTAGGGGGGACGAAAGGGGACGAAAGGAATAATCGATAAAAAAGGATAAATGAATATCAAGTGATAACAGCTCATGCCAGCAGCGCAAGCACTGAAGGCACGATAGCAAACTAGCAATCCTTGATAAAGAAACATGAAATACAGCCCCTGACATAAATCAACAACGTCTGCACAAGAATTTGTTTTCAATCTTTGTGTAATCTTAAGGACAAGTCTCGAAGGTTACAACCTTTTTGGACTTCAGACAAAAACTAGTACCAATATTATGTAAGAATTACTAATGAAGAGGATTGCCACAACTCCAAAGTAACCAATAGTAAAAATAGAATCGATAATAGATGCAAACACCTGGTAAAAAGTTCTGGTTGAGTTCGTTTTCCCTGCAGTCAGCCAATCCCTGTGACAAATAGAATACTGTTTATCCAAGTTCCTGTTATTACAAATGACTAAGGTCGAAAATGCTATACGGCTTGTCGACTTGTGTTTTCTTACTGTAAGCTGACATACAGTAACATTGATACGCTATATGCGCTGGCATATGTTAACTTGTGAAACGTGTTGAAAGCACGTTTGTCAATTGGTTCGAAAAAGAGGGGTGAGAGTGGAAATATTTAATAGCGATTATAAGTTTGCACAAGACCGACAATGACACTCATTCAGATCTCCTTAATAGTCAAGACTTGGTTTCTGATCGTTTTGTATTCAGGATGGTTCCATTTAGAGAAGTGTTGCTGTAATCCCCATGGATTGTACAAAAATGTCATTGACGGATAAAAAAACTTTAATATGCCCAAGTTATTTTATTTATAGACATTATGTTTTACAATAGGGAATCATTTCTATATTTGCCCCCACCCTGTTTAAGATGGACATCACACGTAACTGAAATCCGGGAAGAATATAATAAGTAACTTGATAACAATCAACTACATATAAAACGAGAGGCGGAGACTGAGTAAGTATGAATATAAATGCTTCTTCCCTTCCCTCATAGAAAACCTTTCTTCCACCAAAAGGCATTTAATATATTGTGCGAAAAAGCTTGTACTATCCATGTTTACAAATTGTTTCCTGGTATTGGGCGTGTTTGCTTACGTGAGAATTAATGCTTTTATATGTCGCTTTCGAAATTAAACTTTATAATGCTTGGTAATACGCAGATGCCAAAATTCGCTAGTGCATAAATTATATTACGGTTTATACAGTAACCAGATAGGTTTTAGGGTATCGATAGTAATTAGTATAATGTGAAGATTGGGTATAAGTGTGTTTAGTTATTAAGAAATGGAGAAAACTTACTTTGAGTATATTATCAGTATTTGCGGTGATATTTCCTTCTAGTTCAACGACATTGTCTTTTCAGAAACGATCAATTGACGTGAAATCGTTAGTATTAATGCTTCGATAGTAATATTGGCTTCTGTATTGTCGGGGTTCAAGAATGCTGCCTCTGCAGCGACAATTGCACGGACATTCTTCATTATGGCGGCGGTGAGGAAGTGGAGAAATATATCGAGGGGAGGGGTTATATTGATTACGTGTGTGAGGTCTTTGCGTGTGGGAATGTAAGAGAGATGTGTATGGTGTGTGCATACTAACGAATACGTAGAGTCTATAGTCGAGGAAAAGAGTACTGCGTCGTGCGTGTGAAGCACTTGTGTGAACGGGAGAGATGTTTTGATACTAATGGTTCGGAATTTGAAATCTCACCTTCTCATTTCACGTCTTCTAGTCTTTTTGTCTTCTCATCTTTTTGTTTCTATGTCTTTGTGTCTGTGTGTCTTCATGTCTCTGCGTTTTCTCATCTCTTCGTATCAATTTTCTTGCCTTCTTGTCTCCTTTTTTTTTTTCTCTTTTTTTTTGCAGGAGCATTTTTTTGTTGGAGATCGTCAGCCTCATATTTTAATATGGACATTCACATGAACGTAACGGATGAGGATTCACATTAACATAATAATAATAACAACGTTTTGTTTACCAGTGCAGTGGCTTAGTGGGTATTTTTTTTCCTTCTAATAATAATGATAATAATAATAATAACAACAACAAAAACAACAACAACAATAATAATAAGATATATCAATATTAATATGTTAATATGTGTGTGTGTCAAAAGTGAGATAATGCTTAATTAGAGAAATGGGAAAATTCGATAAAATAGACATGAAACTATTTTTATAAGATGATAAACATCAGCCTATAATCTATCGCCATCTTCTCACAAACATTCTTCAACATAAATTATTCCTTCAGCACATGTGTACTATGCGAAGGATAATTTTTTTTGTATGGTTCGGAAGCTAATTTATTGTGCTTTTCCAAAAAATTAACAATAAATGTTTGTAAATTATTGTTATAAAGCGGTAGCAAGTTGAAGTAGCTGTCTTCAAATCACGATATGAAATATATAATTATATATATATATATATATATAGCACGTATACTCACACTTCGTCAAGCTACTGATTTATAACGATAATGTATACAATTGTTGTTTTTTTTTCAAAACGCACAATCGATTAGCTTCCAAACCATACGAAAAATCTTATCCTTCGTATAGTAAACATGTGCCGGAGAGATTTTTGAAAAGAAAGATATTCCATATGTTTTACTAGTAAATTTTCGTGGTGATCACTCACTTCTGGCAGGGTACTGTATATAAAGTATATAATCATTTTTAATATTTCTTTTTATTTAAGCTTTAAAAATTAAGAGTGGAAAAATCTAGTATTTCATTTAAAAATTAGACAGAGAATTAATGCCAGTGAGGAAATTGATGAGCATTGAAATAATGGAAAGATTTTAGTCTAAATATTTTATTTGTTGTCAGTATAGGTTGGTATTGGACAAGCAATATCTTGAATTCGTCTCAACAAATGACGGATATTATGATAAAGATATTCTTGCCTTTTGTAATCCAAAGGAGGAGGGGTTAGGACTAGGATTGAAAAAATTTTAATTTTTTAAAGAAAGTACTTAACACAGAATTAAGATCTAAGTATTGAAAACCTTTCCCGTTGTCATAACGCCGAGTTTTATTTAATCCAGCTGTACTCGATTTTTTCACAACTTCAACAATATGGTCCACACAATTTACCGTTGTTTTTCTATAGAGTCTTTTAATTAATCCAAAACTACCATCACATTTGAATTTGGCATTCATAAATTAAGCTCGATGCTTTCATAGTAACCACAAATTACCAAATATAAATATAATCAAATATTTTGTTCGCCGCCGACAGTTTTGTTATTGGTTGTAACTTTAGTGTCTTAATTAAGGTATTCGTATTGTGCAGTTAGCCATTACAAATTATGCAATTTAGCATTGAAACCCAAGAATGAAGCCAATTCATACTCTAAAAAGTAAAGCGTTATCGATAAAATTGTTATACTGTTTTTATTTGCCAACAAATATGTTATTTTACAATATTTATTGTGTCGTAATGAATTGGAGCGGTTTTATAATAAAATTCTCATACGCTGCGGATGCTTAATTAAAGTTTCTCTGCGCATCAGTTCTCATTGGTCTTACAAATGACGCGGGCTTGGGCAGCGCGTAAAAAATTTCTTTTCCAAACATTACAACCATGAGCTCACATGTCGAACATTCAACTACATTATCCCAAATACTTTGAGGAAAACGAGTCTTGGAGCTTGATCAGTTACCTTAAATATAAACAGAATTGATTGATAGGAGTGCTAAACATTTAGCTTACCGTAGTAACCTCGAGTATTTGGCAAACGCTGGCGACGATGATCAATGTAGTAAAGCTAAAGAATCTTCCAGGTATTAGCGTTTAATCTCATTCCCTTCTCCCCGTCAGTCAAAACGGTGGGTTCAAGGGCTAGAACACAGTTATGTTGCGTTGACAATCCCAGAGTAACCAGCCGATTTCGTATTGGACTGGCGATTGTGGGTTTCGAACTCCTTTGGGGGCCCTTGAATAGGATTCGTTCTATTGCCACGACGCAACCGGGTGGTTTCGTGGTCCATTCTTTTGTACATCTGTCAGTTTTTTAGAAAGTAGTGCTATTAAGTTTTACACTAAGCTTGTCCGAGTTTTTCTACATGCCAAATGATGAGAAGTCTTCTGCCAATGTAGGTGGTCTGGAAGTCGCTTGAAAAACAGCATTGTGAGGAAAAACTAGAGAGGTTTCGAGGTCTTTATTTAGGGGAAAAACTAGAGAGGATACAGGTTGGAAATTTTCTATTTACCGTTACATGTTTTTAACATACTGGTAGGGGATTGACTTTGTTCTCCAGTTGAATTATGTTGCGCATGTTTGTTGAGCACTATCAACAAATAATGCACAAGTTAACTCAGTAATAGTAAAATAATTAATAACTCAATCTCCCTAGCTAAATACTCAAATTTAGAACCCAACATGCGTTCAGGAGAATTCTTGTTTGAATTGTGTGGGTCGAATTTTTGCCGGGTTCTTTACATATTGTAGTAAATCTGTAACATTGGATGCAAGGTTAGTTCGTTTTCCTCGAGGCTTGACTGATGGCCGAATTTATCGAGAACACGTGAGCTGACGCCTCAAATAATTACACGCGCACAATAAAGGATTGAAACTATAAAAGAAATAGTATGCCTCACCATAACGTGTGGCATTACATAATCTGTTCGCCCGCGGGTATGTATTATGCTTAACCATGTTAATATGCTAGTTATAGGCTTATTCCCCCGATCAAATTGGTTGCCAAATTCGGGATAGCAAGATTTCCATTTCATCATCATTACGACATGTGTTTCGCACCCAAATATGTTTAAAAGGTTCCAACCCGACGACCCATTTCATTGCGACCAAAAACATGTCGAAAATAGTTGACCTAGCAACCCCTTTCGCAAATCTTCCTGTTGTACCTGCATGCCTACAACATCCTTCAAATGTGGGACCTGGTTTGATTCTGCTTAGCGAAAAACTAAACATTTCACCCTCAATTAAAGCAGAGGCAGACGAGTTTTGTGAGGATGGATTCGTCACATTGATTCCTGATCTTTCAGAAATCCATGGACAAGACAGGATCATGCTATACTTGTCCTGCGCATTTGAAATCTTGGAAGATATTGTCGGCAAACGTGGGATTGGGATTGTTGGGAAAGGGATTGGTGCAGATTACGCTCTCGAGTTTGCTTCTTGCAAGAGATTATTGTGTGGTGTCGGATATCTACCTACAAGCGATTCGGTCGTTGAAAAAAGGATAGAAGACATTAACATACCATTCGCACTTCATCTTCCACAATCAACACCGAAAAAGTTGCTTGATCGTTGTAACATTTTGAGTCACATCAAGGTTTATACGTATCCATTAGCAAAACCAGACTCTTCTGAAACGGAAACGCCCACGTTGAATCACGCTCATAAAGATCTCGCATATAATCGATCGTTGAGTTTATTAAAGACTGTCATGGGCAATAAATACGACTTGTCACAGCTGTGGGATCAACATTGCCAATTTGAATTTGAGGATAAAGATGTGAAGAAGACCTTGGATACTATGGTTAGTCAGTGAAGGGTTAATACGATCGATGCAGAAGTTCTAAATGCTTGAATTACCCTATCATACAGAAACCTCTTTCTAATAGTTAGAGATATCAATTTTCCCCTTCTCCCGTTTTAACCAAATTCCCGGTCACGTTGGGTAGCTTGCAGTTAGACACGTGAGGAATGGAAGTAAAAAGATGCCAATTTTTGTCATTATGACACGAATATTTAAATCAAGTTAAGATTTTTGTAATAAAAACATACTTATTCAAGAATTTTTATAATATATGTACTTATTGCGCAGAAGAATATACTGATTCTTATTATTATTTTTATCGTACAGGTTGATGAACCATATGTTAATCATGTCCCGACGATGACTGGTGGCTGTGGCAAGAAAGCCTTGATGGAATTTTGTAAGCCCATAAAACCCTCACGGTGACGGTGCCCACTTAACGATAAACGAACTAATGCAACTCTATTCTATATTATAGATGCCCATCACTTTATTCCCTGTAATCCGCCCTCGACCAAAATAACACCCATCACTCGCTCGGTAACCTCTACTCGCGTAATAGACGAGTTTATCTTTTCTTTTACTCACACTTGCGAAATGGACTGGTTACTTCCAGCCATTGCCCCTACCAACAAATATGTAGAAATTCCAATGATAGCAATAGTTGAATTTCATGGAGATAAAATCGCGTGTGAGCGTATATATTGGGATCAGGCGAGTGTTTTATTGCAAGTGGGACTGATAGAAAAAGTTGACCACGTAATACACGGGCAGGAGCAGGCAGATAAGGTCATGGAGTATATTAGCAGTCGCGAGAACAAGTACGAGGAAGATCGAGGAAACATGAGAAAATAGGGTAAATTATATCTCCACCGGATTCATTGTATTGAAGTAAGCATACGACCGGGTATGTCTGGCAGAAATTTACGTTTCAATATTTTGTTTGGTTATGCAGTTTTGAGCATAATATTTGGAGCCGTTTTAAATTGGTGTTTCTATGCTTATGTTTTTACTAAACAATAAATTATGAACGAATAGTAATTAGAATCACCTCTGGGAGTTGAGTAGTATCGGCAAGGAGATTCGGCAGATTTCAGATTTCGCGTGAGTTAGTGACGTCTTTTCAGTCTAGACATCTGTTCTGAAGTTACCATGCAATATCGCTCGCTATCTTAACGCGTTGGCCTAACCTATTGAAGCCAAATGATCAAAAGTATGCGGCAATCTTCTCGCTGCTAATGGATTGGGAGCAGAAAACCTAGATTGTATTATCCTTATGGTCGCTTTCCTTCCGAGCAAGCAATCAATTCAGGGGTGTTGAGTATAACTTGCATTTTGTATGTTCGCCCGTTGAGATAATACAAAAACCATTACCATTAAGAGACAATCTTTTGTGCCAATGCGACTTGGCTGCTGCAACCTACTCAAACCCACGCACAATTAGAAGATACCAACATCTATTGCTATACGATCCTAAGAACCAGAACGTTTATTTTCACACCCGCCCACTCACACAAAAAAAAAAGAAAAAAAAAAAAAAAAAGAAAAAAGAGAGTGAGTGTAGCTACCATTAACGTTAACCGTTACCCAGACAGAATAACGACTACTATGAAATGCATACTAATACAGAAAATCAGTGCACAATTTTGTACATTAGAATTATATAATTATAATACATATATGCTTACTGCATATGGAAATTCACAATTAAATTAATTACATATAATTAATCTGGTCACGTCTCTACATCTACAAACCACCTTTAGTGACAGTGACCAACAACATTGTGTAATAAGTTATCGGCCAAGATGCACGCGAAGCTTTTCAAGCTGTTTTTCAAATACAGCTGTCATGGCTCCGCCAGCATTAAAACGAGTCCTCCATTCCGTTTTCTCGTCCTCTACTTCGCCGTTTGTCCTATGCCTTCTGGATAACGAGGCGATATTGAACCTTAGCGTTGTGGTTGTCCTCGGTAATCGATTATTGGCTTGAAATCCAAACAGTTCTGGCAGATATCCATCAAAAAATAGACATTTGATTACCCTCTTACTCGGACATGTTCTGAGCAAAGGCACAAGCTGTGGTTCCCAAGGCACCTTCTCCTTGCAATATAGACAGAAGATATCATCCAATTCTTTCCATAAATTGTCGATTCGGGCGGAGGACTGCGGCAGAGTACGGTTAGATGCACGAAGTCTGGCTTTCTGTATACGTGTAGTTGTAATTTCGTTCATCAAATATCTAACCACACGAGAGTCGGCACCAAACTTTGCCAGTAAGTGTTCGTACACGACAGGCGAGTATTTGTGGATCGTATAATCTTCAGAAATAGAACCATTACTGTCTAGATCCGCCTCGATGGGATTTTCAATGTCGTACTCATCGAATGCGGCAAGGATTTCTTCTTCGGGGTCGTCAATCGCATTAATTACAAAATCAAGTGAATGATCTAGTTTTAGATCTCTCGCTGGATTCAACAGTTCCCTTAAACAGATAGATAGTGTATCTTGCTCAGTCTTATGGCAAACAACGGCGAACGCGTTAACAAGTACATCTCCTATATCGTCTAACTTTTGCTCAAGCAATATCATGACATCTCCAAGCAAGTCATCAGTCACTTCATATCCATGCGATTGTAGATCACTCAATTTCGTAACAACTTGACCTAAATCTGGTTTGACCCAATCAACTGGCGGATCGGTTGGATACAGTATTTGCAATAAACCCCTGATCACATAATCATTTGTATCTTCGACTACTTCGTGGTATCCATTTTGCCTCCAAACATTAAGCAATTCCGGAAAAACGAGTATGGCTCGTGCAATAACGTTCAAGTTGCAAACGCTCTCGTAACCAACTGCGGATGGATCATCGTCAATGTTGGAAGGATTCGGATCCAGATTCTTTGAAATATGGTTTCGAACCTTTGGCCTGGGAGGAAGTGGAGCAAACTTGTAGCGTATAATCAACATTTCGATTACATTATCTGGTTCCAGCATTCTTTGCGCTTGGCTTATTGTTAACTGTTCGGCCAAAAAGTGATAAAAAGTTTCCATGTCCGTTTCCGTATCGTCTTCGTTATCCTCAAATTTTTGTTTTGCCTCTTCCAGAATGCGGGGAAGAAAATTGCATTCCCGCCGATTTAGTCCTGCGTTGTCAGATTTGCCAAATACGCGTATCAGTTTTTGAACCAAGTATCGACTGAGATGGGCTTTTCGAGTAAATAGGTAGTTGACGACATCAAGATTAATAAACGGCTCGCCCATTCGTACGGCATAATATAACGCATGGGTTCTTCCATGTCTTCTGATTAGCCACTTGGCCTTAGTAAAAGGGTCGTTTACTATCCGGTACCATTTGCGCGAGCATCTAGCAAGTGGTGTAGGATCCCTCAAGTAGGAAATAATTTCCGACTGAAGCTCTAATGCTAGTGTGCAAAGAGTTTTAGAATTCATGGAAAAAGAAAGTGCTTCCCTTTACGCTTGCTTTCAATAATTGCCTATTTAAATACATAATTTATTCCCACGCTATGTGTACCAACTTCCATCATTGTAAATAGCTATACAAGATCCGTAACAAGTTATTACTGGCAAACATCATAGTAGTAATGGTACTTTTCCTTCACGTAGATGAGATCGGCCAATAGAAACTGACGCTGTTATGGAAATTATCGGATTACAAATTGACTAATTTGGATCAGTGTATAGAGGTGTCGAAAAGTGTCGGAATTCTTGATTACAACCATTCAAAAATTGCTTAATACACTCAAAATTAGGGGGTTCTGACCAAACACAATTAACTGCCAAGATTGTAAATAGCTATAATCATTTACATGAACAACGCTGATTAAAAGGGTAACATGAAAGAGACGGATTACCAATAAGAGTGTAATTTATAAATATAACACGTCAGTATTCAAAGTGTGAAGAGCAAAGCCTTCAAGATAAAATATTCTGTGATACATTCTATCGCCTGTAGCCTTCTGTTAAAGAAGCTTTTTGTGCGCGTTTCAAAAAAGCACAAAATAAAGTTGACTAAGCAATTCTGAGTGAGTGACGGAGACATATTCTGTCACTTTTGTGTATACAGTTTAAATATATTTTACATCTTATTGGTTGTAATTACACATTAATATCTAATACGTTTGCAATTGACTCGATTTATGTTTTAAAAAAAACCATTTACAACATGTTTTCCAATTTATTTTTTTATCCGCGTCTGATAGAAGTTTGGTTGAGATGGTGTATTATTTCTCGCTTCTTAAAGTCATGTTCATTTTTTAACACGAGAAATTGAAAAATCACGTGAAAAGCGCTTATTTACCGCCTAAACCAGACCGTGATTTGCAGAGAGCATAATATTAATATACTGTACATTTTAAATTTAATAAACTTGGAACTAACCGCTATAATCACATAATGATAACTTGTCAGTATTCCTTTTTGACCGTATGGCATTATTCTTACTTTCAAGATTAAATTATTAGTAAAAGCCAAATTACTTAAACGGTAAAGAATGCATTAAATTAAGACCGTTGACCGATTTATTATTCATATATTGTATAAAAACTTGTCCTTACAAATGTAAAATGGTTAACTACTACTTGCCCTGTTCTAAAAATTTATAAGAAAGAGTGGGGTGGGGTTCAACTGTGTTTGTCAACCAGTCTTGTGTCCTATATTTCCGCAAACTAAACCCATAGAACGTCAATAAATCTGTAATCAAGCCAAACAGCCCAGTATTGAATGGAAAACAAAGAAAAAAAGTATTGTACAAATTATCTACTCTAAATTTCTTCTGTGAAGGTATGTAAACGCTGCAAAAAGTTATCAAGTTGGTTTCTAAACACGATCGTAATATTGTTGTTCTGATTACAATGAAGAATAGCATTCATCCATTCCGTTTTCTCGTTATGTACTTCACCGCATTTTCTAGGTATTGTTTGTGTAAATGGCGTAATATGAAACTTTTGGTTTGACACACTCCTCGGTAATTGATCGTTGGCTTGAAATCCAAACAGCTCCGGCAAATACCCCTCAGAAAATAGACATTCGATTACCCTCTCACTCGGACATGTTCTGAGCAAGGGCAAAAGTTGTGGTTTCCAAGGTACGTTTCCCTTGCAATATACATTAAAGATATAATCTAATTCTGCCCAAAGACAGTCTATTCGAACAGAGGACAGTGCTAGAGAACTATTAAATGCACAAAGTTTGGCTTTTCGTATGCGAGCAGCTGTAATTTCGTTCATCAAATATCTGGAAACACGAGAGTCGGCACCAAACTTTGCTAGCATATATTCGTATACGATAGGCGAATATTTGTGGATCGTATAGACTTCAGAAATAGAGTCTAGATCCACCTCGATGGGATTTTCAATGCCGTACTCTTCGAACGCGGCAAGAATTTCCTCTTCAGGGTCGTCAATCGCATTAATTACAAATTCAAGTGAATGGTATAGTTTTATATCTCTCGCTGGATTCAACAGTTCCCTTAAACAGATAGAGAGTGTATCTTGCTTAGTCCTATGGCAAACAACGGCGAACGCGTTAACAAGTACATCTCCTATATCGTCTAGCTTTTGCTCAAGCAATATCATGACATCTCCAAGCAAGTCATCAGTCACTTTATATCCACACGACTGCAGATCGCTCAATTTCGTAACAACTTGATCTAGATCGGGTTTGACCCAATCATCTGACGGAGTACTTGGATAAAGTGCTAACAATGAACCTCTTATAGCAATATCATTTGTATCTTCGACTATTTCGTAGTATCCGTTTTCCTTCCAGATATTAAGCAATTCCGGACAAACGAGTATGGCTCGTGTAATGACGGTCAAATTGCGAAGATTCTCATAGCCATCTGTAAATGAATCTTCACAAGACTCGAATACCAGATTCTTTGAAATATGGCTTCGAACCTTTGGTCTGGGAGGAAGCGGAGCAAATTTGTAGCGTTTAATCAACGTTTTAATTTCATCCATATTTGTTTCTAGCACTTTTTGCGCTTGGCTCATTTTAAACGATCCGGCAGAAAGATAGTAAAACGACTCCATATCATTCCCACGAATGGGGATATCATTGCCATCATACCTACGATGTGCCTCCTCAAGAATGCGAGTAAATACGTCAAGAAAAAGATTGCTCGCCCACGGACAACGGTTTTTGATTTGGATTAATTCTTCTCCCGAATCTAGCTCTTTCTTGGCATTTGCGAGCTTACTATCATACTTACCAAACCCGAGTACTAATTTTTGGGTAAAGTACCGACTAAGATGGGCGTTTTGAGCAAGCAGACATTCGACAACGTCAGCAGAAATGAAGGGTTCCCCGATTCTTACAGCATGAAACAATGCATGTACTTTGCCGTGCATGCTGATTAACCATTTTGACTTTGTAGTCGGAGAATTCACTAGGGTGTGCCAAGCTCGCGAACATTTTGCTAGCGGCAAAGGATTCGGCAAATAGAGAATTATACATATTTTTATTTCCAACGCCAGATTATCAAAACTTGCCGCCATGACTGATGTGTTAAATTGTTGGATTTTCTAACTGTATTAAAAAAAAAGGATTAGGCATCTACAATTGACTTTACGTTGCAATGTTTGAACCATCCGTCTACATTTTTGCGGTACATTTTACACATTCGGAGAGAGCTCCTTTTTTTTAAAAAAAGAATGAATAGACTCACCCAATATTTCTGAAGCGAAATAAATAATTTAACAATAGATGACGGTGGTATATTTTATAGATTTAAAGATGCAAAAATTCAATTGATCTTCGTCCGCCAAATCTTAAACCCATTTCCCATTTTAAGTAATATTGAAAGGGATTTCACTTCCGGACAATACCACGTATAAAAAGTCCTTGACTATTAACTCTTGAAGGTATTAATATTGGTTTTAACATTCACCAGATATTACAAGGGCAAATTATGTTACAGAACTGTCTGTATTGTAAAGTAGGTAACATTACAATTCTACTCTTCCGCGTGGTAAAGGATACCTCTTGATGAGTGCGATATAGACATTGAATAACATTTAGTGAGAGCAACTTCTAGCAACGAGTATAGTCGCATCAGCTGATGTCTAATTGTCCCAATAAGTAGAGTTAGACCTATAATCTTGTCATCATTGAGAAGAGTATAAAGCATTCTGATTTAAATGGGTAAATGAAAGACGCAAGCTGCACATTGATATAATGAAATAATAAGTATTCTTGGACATAAGGTTTCTGTGCGAGTACACAAACGCAGAAGCAAGCGTTTAGAGGCAGTGTAAAGAGACCGGTTAAAACTTCAATCGAGCAAACGATCGAGCAATCCAATAGCGAAGACTTTGTATAAATAAAATCCATAATAATAAGGTATTAGCTACGTACGGCATAAAAAATACAGAATTGAGCATCAATATGTAACGTCGTTTTTGTGTGTTTATGTGTTTATTATAATTATTATGTTTAATAAAAAGAACTGTGATACAAAGGGGTTAAGGAACGTATTTAAAAATAGTTATTTACCTTTCACAACATGTAAACGTTTCACATTCCATAGATGGAAGTTGTCAAAGCGCCCATCTGATCATTTAACAAACGCATCATTTAGTAATGGTGTAACGGTTTGTTTGGTTTGGGGTGGGTGGTTTTTTTTTTTTTTTTGAAGAAAAAAGCCAAAATGGCATTATCAACAGACTCACTTACAAGGACAATAGCTAACATGATGTCATGTGGCAACTCTTGCTTGAATACGTTGTTAACATCTGATTGGTACTTTTCTTTCATACCTAAATTCTTTGACATCTTTTTATAGAGCGTCATCTCTTACATATTGAACACTTTGTCTCACTGTTCCATGGCTTCAATCCTATTATTAAATTTGCTCATTGCATTCCAGATATTGCACACTTCCTAAATATGATCTTCTAAATGACTAACTTTCAAAATGCCGATCGAATACTCCTTCTCCTCGGGTTAAGTGACACGATTTACACTAATTAAAGGGAAGTGCCTATACCAGCTTATGAAACAGAGTACTTGTTAACACCCTAATTAAGATAGGACAACGAAATAAATAAATGGGATCTTATTAGGAATAATAATATAAATTGCTGGAAAACTTGTATTAGCGTAAGATAGTAAAAATATAAGAACAGTAGGAACTTGAGGACAAGCTGGAATCGTCTTCTCTATCCTCCGCATCACGCTCTTTTATAGTTATAATTTGAAATAATTTTGCGTTACAAGCTAATTACGTAACGGGGTCTTGTGACTTGGAATTCGGCCGCGTATGGGGATTATGGACTGAACGAGGTAAATTACTAATCGTGGTGGTGGTGTGCGATGACAGTGGAGTCGGGCTCTTGTTACGCAATACCAATCATTGAATAATGATAGCGGTAAAAATTTTAGAAGACATATTATTGACGTTTAATTCCTCCTTACCATTACTGATACATCACAAATACAAGTAGAAAACAGAATAAGAGTTATTAAGCCCTTTTTCTTGCTCTCAATACGTTTAATCTCATGGCTTATGCGACGGTCTTATTAAACCATAGCAAGAAAACTTGGAATAAAGTAGCTTACAAAACCAATTGAATAAACCTTTAGCGTAAAGCGTGACAAATCAATCCAACTAAATACTCAATTTATAATACTTAATGTTAAATTTCTGATTGATCTGTAATTAAAACGTGCGTTTCATGACCTTTAAACAAAACCGAGACTTTTTGTTGAAATTGGACAGTAATTATCACCTGTATAAGGATAGCGTTAACGTGAGAAATACACAGTGAAACTTTGAATAACGATTCCAACTCTTTTCTCCATTAAAATCGAAAGATTTGCTAAACCGAGATTCAAATATATAGATCTTTCTTTCGGACTTATGATGACTAAATGTTCCTATATATAAAATTTTTTTGTATAATTAACTTACCTGATACCGATTTTCTCGCTAGCAACCTTCATTCTTGCCAAAGAGGGAGAAATTATCATCCATATCATGCGTGAGAAGGGTAACGTTCGGAGTATATTTTCTGTAGGGAAATGATTAGAAGAAGGCCGGGAATTGAAAAAGAAAAGAATAATGGAGTACTTATCTTTAAAGTGAACAAACACTGTAGGTACGTAGTATGCTCGTCTGTTAGACAAAAGTGCTAGCTTTCGCATGTTGAACTTAATAACTAGGCCGTTAACTCGAATAAAATGCATAGATTAAAGACATTAACAATTACATGGTCATAAAGGGCTATTTATTGTTCAAAGAAAGCCTTATACTGTACATTACTTTGGATTGGGATTTTAAATAACTATAGTAGGAGAAATGTTCATAATTTTTTTTTTAAAAAAAAAAAAGTTCACCGCAAGGAGATTTCATAATCACAAAAATGGAAAAATTATGGCCAGTGGTCATCAACGTTATCCGTGTCGATGTCGTTTTGACGAGGTTGACAATGTGCCAAAAGCTCTATTACTATGTATGCGCTGACGGAATTTTTCAAGTTGATGTCTGAATGTTGCCGTCATTTTGTCATTCCGATTACAAGAACGAATCTCATCCAACCATTCTGTCTTTGTTTCATGGCTTGTCCTGCGTCTTCTACGTGTGAATGGAGTGACTTCCAGCACTGGCATTTTGTCTACTCGTGATGGTTGAAATTTAACTCCGAGTTCAAACAGCTTCGGCAAGTATGTCTTAAACAGACATTTGATGACAATCTTCTCCGGACACGTTTCGAACAAGGGTAAAAATCGCGGTTCTATAGGAACACCTTCCATATAATACACGTTGAAGATGTTATTTAATTCTTGCCATCCGTGTTCGATTGAAGCGGTGGACGAGGCAAGAGTCTTGTTATATTTATGTAGTTTGGCTTTCCCTATACGCGCAGTTGTAATTTCGCCCACCAAATATATGCTAACAGGTGAGTCGACACCAAATTTCACTAGCATAAATTGATAGACGATAGGGGCATATTTGAGTAACGTAAGTGCTAGAGGAATAGAACCTTTCCTACTTAGATAAATTTTCACGGGATTTGCGATATTGTAGCTACGCAGGGCCTTGTACGTGGTCTCTTCGGGGTCATCAATTTGATCGAGTATATAATCAAGTAAATCATGCCGCTTGAGATTTCTGCCTGGATTCAACAATTCTCTTAAGCATATGGAAAGTATAGTGTTCCTATTCAGACCGCGACCAATGACAAACGTATCTATCAGTACTTCTATATCCTTTAAACGATGTTCAAAAAATATCAAAGCATCTCCCATCATCTCATCTGTCGGTCTAAATCCAACCGACTGCAGAGTTTCTAGTTTCTTAATGAAATAGCCTAAAGTTGGATTAAAATTTGATAGTAATAGGATGCTTCCCATTACCAAATCGTTTATATCGTCGACTATTTCATAATATTCGTTCTTTTTCCAGACATTAACCAATTTGGGATACAAAAGAATAGCTCGTGCAATAACATTCTGTTGGCGAACATTCTCGTAGCCATCAGTAGGCGGGTAATCATCGTAGTTGGCAGGATGTGATACTATAGTACGCTTTCGGATTTTTGGCCTAGGAGGAAACGGCGCAAATTTGTACCTCTGAATCAAAGTTTTTATTTCTTTTTTGTTTTTCCTCAATCTGGTTCTCGCTTGACTAATAACCAACGGACCAGCTGATAGATAATAAAATGACTCCATGTCATTTCCGCGCACTGGAGTGTCGTCTCCGTCAAATTGGTCATGACCCTCTTTGAGAATTCTGGAGAAAACATCAAAGGGAAGATTGCTTGCCCACGGGTTCTGGATTTTTCTTTGAATAGACCTTTTCCGATTTGGATCGAGCGGTTTTATCGTCATGTTATGTGCCAATTTGAGATCAATAAGCCTGTTGTCATACTTGCCAAATCCAAGCATTAATCTTTGAACAAAGTACCGGCTTATATGGGCATTTTGGGCAAATAAACACTCGACTACATCAACATTAATGAATGGCCTGCCCATTCTTACTGCATGAAACAATGCATGGGTTTTACCATATCTGCTTATCAGCCATTTGGACTTTGTAACGGGTAAGTTTATCATGGTGTGCCAGGCACGCGAGCATTGGGCAAGCGATATAGGATTACTCAAGTGGAGTATAATTTCTACTTTAATTTCGGGCGCTAGCCTATCTAAATCATTATTGAGGGGTTTATACTCAGCAGAACCATATTCTGTGATAGTTTTCATCCTAGTAGTAAGTCGAAATCTTACGACCGTCTTTCGTTAACAGATAGTTTGCATTTATAATTGGGATTTCGGAGGATATTTTATTTTACTTATAATAATAATGAATTTCTACTGTTCATTTTGAATTTTTAAACGACATACATATTATATCTGTTCATTACCCCTTGTTGTTCTGCTTTAGCTTTTGTTTATACAGGAGCTATGTTAAAGGCTGAAATCGCTTCCATCGGGAATACACTCATCCCTTTCAAATTATTCCTAATTAGTTTTGTATACATGCAGGTACTAACACATGTACATTCAAAATTGCCTAATTCGATACAACAAGATACATTTTGTCTAACCATACTTACATGCGCGCAGTTTAGGTTTCATGAAAATAAGGAGTATAGGTTGATGAGAATAAGAATGGTAAATAAATATCTATCCGGAGAGAGATTCCGTATATGCTTTGCTTGTATAACAGTTAATAATATTAACAATTTCCAAGTAACAAGTGTACCAAAGCTATTAGCACTTGTAAACTATTTTACACATAAAAATACTTACAATAATTGCTGCAATAGCAGAGAATCGAAGTGGGCATTCAAGCATATACATGTTTTATATAATTAATTTATTTGATAATGATAACAGCTCGTTATATTAGTAAACAACAGTCATTACGGAGAGTCGAATGTTGTATACATATTTGAAGTTGTCACAACACTAGAGCTGTTAGTTCTTTCTACGAACGCTACGACTATCTATGCATGCATCTCGACAAATACCCTGACTGTATACCCACACTTCGTTCAGCATTTTTTCGCTATTTTGTTCGTCGTGGAGGTGGCATTTTCTATTTGTGAAAACTTTTTACTCAAACTTTTGCAAGAAAGGTCTAGTTTACAAAGTTAATTGTTGTTTCGAAACTCGAAGAATAAATTTATATAATAGATACGTTGGCGCAATTGCGTAAAAATTTGGTCCCATCGAATATTATACGAAACTCAACAAGGACGCAGGAACTATTATGTAATTCAATATTTTACCAAGACGGAGAGACTCGAACATAATATATTATTACTCGTATTACTGTTGTGCTCGGTTTTGGAAGTTATTTACATTGCTCTTTATTATCAACCAGTTAAAGCTAAACGAGCGCGAAAAAGTATGGGCTTTGCGCATCTTTATAACAGTTTGTCGGGAGGCTCTTTGCGTTTGATTAAAGCCCTCGGGCAGATCTAGGAACTAAACTTCCCTTTAACCATCCTTTGTTTTTTTACAATATCTTTTGAAATAGCTGCTTCAGTTTACTTGTAATAGCCATATGTTTATTGCGTGGGTAACTTGAAATAATGCATGCTTTTTCTATATCTGCTGGCCAGCCACTTGACTTTTTGTGGAAGGTAAATTTACGATATCACGTGAATGTTTGACAAGTGTATCAAAATTTTTTTCATGATATGAACTTAAAATTTACATAATTTATAAAAAGCATTGATAATTTCACTCGATACGAACGGGCCGCTCAATTATTCAAACACATGCGTAGAGGAACTATTACAGGCATCGCCATAAGGTTCGGACGAGGAAGCTGGCCAGTTGACAAGGTAACATGCTTAACAAATTCGAGAATATCGATTAAAGAATGCTCATGTTTTAAACCACAGCACAACTCGTTACTCATACCTGTGTGATCGGAAGCATTGGTAGCAATATTTGTCTGAGAGACTAAATACACGCTTTTGTCGTGGTTTTTATCTTTGAGTTTTTTGTTACACACGTTAAAGGAATTTTTGCATTTATACAGTCTAATCTGGTTATAATGACTTTGACTATTACTGTATTAAATGATTACAATCTTTGCTATAAAAGAGACCTTGGTTATAAGGAATTTCTGGTTATAAGCAATCCCAGTCCCGTACAATTTGGTATAACCGTAGTTTATTGACTCGTTGATGCAACACACTATTAGGTGTAGTCTTATTTACAATTTATGCAAACTTGTACCACAAAAACTCGAGCAATGACTCGATATAAGTTTGCAAGATGTTCAAAATATTGGTGATCGATCTATTTCTCAGAATTCGTCACGTAACAATTGTCTATTTATTACATAATCACGAACTATAAATAAGTAATATATAATAATAACGTCGACTGTTAATGTGATAAGGGGGGGTGTGAGGGGCCCTTATTCACGATAGGCCCTTATTCACGATAGTTTACGGCATGTATATCATATTAGTATTAAGCCCTCACTTGATTATCAACCATTGTTGATAAAATATTGTTTTTCTACCTATGCTTTGACCCGGTTTACTACAAGTGAGTCACGATATAACGACACTGCTATATAATGATGTTGTATGTCAGATAGGAATTTATGTCAGATCGGAATCTATGTCCATTCCGAACTGACATATGTCAGATCAGAATT